GTGGTGGCAGTGAGCAGCTCCGGGCTCTGGTCACTGCTGGTGGCATTTTCTGTTGAGCTATCTTCAAGGTCTTCTGTTGTGTGTCTTCTGTATTTCCTACTCCGTCAGCAGCAACCCCTGTCCTGAACTGGCTATAAAATATGAGCAAAACAGCTGAGAACAACAATGCATGGAATCCTATGGCTCAGGAGCTCTCATGTCAGAGCCTTGCCTGTGCCTTATGCTTGTCAGCACCTCCTTCTCTGCACACAAAAAAGTGATTGGTGGAGACTTTTTTGCCCAAGAGCTCTTGAGAAGCAAATGTCTGCTGGGATTCTCATGAGTGTATTTAGTGACTGCCAGAACCCGGGCTAGCTCTTAGAACTCCAGCGCCACACCAGGAGTGGGGAACTGCCTCAGTATGGGGATTTACCAGAGGCAGAACTTTTAGAGTCACTTGCTCTAAGCTGCCAGATGCAAGCCACAACAGGGACCAGGCAGAGGAGAAAGAAGGAGGCTCTCCATCTTCAGGGTCTATAATGAACAGTTCATTCCTGATGGAGGGAGCAGGACAAAACTAGCACCTAGTGTTCTGCAAGGGGTTTTGAGCAGATACAAGTCCAGGGGTGGACCCAAACAGTTAAACAATAGGGAATCTTCAGAGGAGGAGTGAGGGGATCACCTCAAGTGTCTGGGGCCAATTGAGGTAGGAGGGTGGAGAGGATGGGTCACATGGGCCAATGGGGCTTGGAGGAGTAGGGAAATTCCACAGGGGTGTTGCAGTTGGGGATTGGCCTGAGGTTTAAGTGACAGAGAAGTTTCAGGAATACGGGGCTGGGTGTGAGGGACAGCTTTGAGGGGGGGTAAAGTCCAGGGGTTAGTCAGCTCAGGGAGAACATGGGGGTACAGCAGAATGAACCACTTACAAGGAATCAATAAAATAAATTCAAACCACAACAAGTGTAGTGGTTATGTTCATTCCTGGGAAACAGAAAGTAAGGCCAGGGTAGTAGATCAGCTCTGAGCTGGTCACTCCCTGCAAAGGGTTCGTGTATGAAGTGGGAACACCACGTTCCAGGATGGGCAAGAAGGGTCAATGTGCTCAAGGTGCAGCAGCTGAGGTTTGGGTTCACCTAGAGCACAGTCAGAGGTGGTGAGCACTGGAAGATCCAGCTGCAGTCCCCATCCATGTCCCTTTCAGTGATGGCTTTAGGGTGTCTGCAGCCTGGATCCAGAGCACCCTTAGGGGCTGGATGGGGGCTGGGAAAGATGCCTTGAGGGTTTAAAGCCAGAGTGAGACCTGGGACCACCAGAGTAGGGCACTGTCCTCAGGGCTGAGGGAAGTGGGTCTTGGGGCTGTCAATGTGGCAGGTGCCCAGAGAGGCTCTGGGAACATTGCAGGTGCCACCAGCCCCCTGGTCTCTCCCAGCCAGACATGTTGAGCCCCTTTTCTTCCACCAGGTCATGTCTCCAACAGTGGCCTTCGTCCTGGCCCTGTTAGCCACCCACGCTGGGCTGAAGTTGAATCTACAAATTGAAAAGGATGATGTTAAACAGATTCTGGAGAGCAAGGAATATCTGCATTAGGAAATGACTCAGCTCCTGCAGGAGATTGATGACAAGTCCATCGTGGAAAGCCTGTTCCTTTCTGCACAGCAGCTGCTGTGGCTGCCTTGGCTCACTGAGGCTGTTCTGCTCTCTCTGGCCTTCTGGCTGGTCAGGAGATGGAAGCGTGGCTCTGCCAGCAGGAGGAGGCAGGACGGATCCAGCAGCCAGGAGAAGGTCAGTGAGCATGAGAAGATCAAAGGTGCATACTTTGGCTATGTCCATGCCATCACCAATGGGCACATCCAGGATAAGGCTGGAGGAGGCTGTGAGCAAACTGATCTCAGTGGGAATGTCCCTGCTCATTGCTGTGGGGTCACACTGGACGGTCCTTAAAGGTCACTGCCAAGCCCAGCTGTTGTGTGATTCTGTGATTCTGCAGCAGGGCCTGCCCAGCACCAAGGTGCTGCAGCAGCTGGTGGACGAGCTCCTCGGTGTGTGCCGAGTGCTCTCCCGCAGGAGCTTCATGCCGGAGCTGCACCCAGCTGCCGGGACGGACACCAGCCCTGCAGCCTGCAGCGTCCAGGAGAGCAGCAGCACCTACCGCACGCTGGTCATCCTGCAGCCACCCCCTGGCCACTCCTTCAGCCCGGAGAGCACGAAGCAGCCGCCAGCCAGGCGCATCCGTGTGGCGCTGGAGTGCCTGTGCTCCGGGGAGCAGCTGCTGGGGCACACGTGCTTCCTGCACGCCGCTGGTGGCCAGCTGCCCACGGATCAGGAGTGGTACCTGCTGGACACCCTCTGCACGGGCTCCTGCTTGGACCTGCAGAAAGTCACCTGCTGGGTGCAGATGTTGGTGCTGTCGGCCTGGCTGCGTCTGCCGCAGTCGCGCCACTGCCAGCTGACGGCGCTGCCCTGCGGCAAGTCCTGCAGCTTCCGGCTGCGCGGCGCCTCTGGCCTGCACTGCAGCATCGAGATGGCTCTGGCCGTGCAGCTTGGCAGCTCAGGGGCCTGCCTGAGCCTCGAGTAGGCAGCAGCCGGCTCTGCCAGCAGCACCGCGTGGGCCAGAGAGCTGCCACCTCTCAGACTCACTGCCGCCATGGCACTGCTGCTGGGGTGACAGCATTGTGACCAAAAAGGACTTGAGGAAGGTGAAGGGAACCATTCCTCATGGGGCATTTTTTGTTTTCTGTTAGGATTCTTTAGTTCTTTGTTATGAAATCTGAAAAATGTAGCCAGATCATAATACTTCTAAAACCTCCCAAGGAGAGCTGGGAAGGTTAACAAGATTTCAGGTTAACATGATTTCAAATATTTTTCTCAAAAAAAAAACTCTGAGAAAAATTACATATCTATAGGAGTTTTCCTATACCACTTTTTTTGTTGTTGTTGTTGTTGTTTAAAAATAAAATAAAGTTCTTTGACTAATACTTGGTTTCCCAACATGTCACTTGTGATGAGAATACAGACAAGTCATAGACATTAGTAAATTGTCAATACAGGCAATTACAGTGGCAATTAAAAATTTCTTTGGTTCCCCACAGCACCATGTCAACTGTTTTAAAAGAAAAGAGAAAATTTGGCTCTCTACAGACCTGTTATTAAAAGGAAGGAAAAGCCTCTTGTACCTATCCCAAAGGTGACAGAGCCTAAGTGAAAAATGATCATCACATCTCGATTTAAAACTGCTGGCACTTGCCCCACTCCTAGACTCATTCTTCTGATCTTCAGCAGGGAGGTAGGGGCATTCCTAGGAAAAGAGAACAGCACAAACTTCTGGGTAAAACCAAGCTGTGAAACTGCATCAGCTCTGGGATCTTTTGGGCTGGGTCGTAACTTGTATTGCGTGAAGTGCTCGCTGCACTGCTCTTGTTGCTTCCCCCAAATTAATAGTTACTATTAAACTAATTGCAAGCATAACTTAGCACCAGCAGTGAACCTTCTCTTTGTTTTTCTTCTGAGTTACCACAAAATAAATTTGAAGATAAATAATTCCTGAAAATTTGTTCATCTTCAGCTCCAAGTTGATCCATAACAGTTCTAACTAACAGAGAGCAACAGACTATAATATTTTCCAGAAGCTCTTCCATGGCTGAGGGAGCTTTTCCTGCAGCTTCTCGCACTTTCTCACAAATGCCACCCCCATAGCTCCCTGTTACCAAAACCAGGTTATGCAAAGTCAATACAGGTATTACTCGAAGAAAGAAAAGAAGTGTTCCCCACCACCCCACTGGAATACACACATCACTGCCAGAACTCAGCAATATGCATTAAACCCACAATTTCTTCAAAGGCTCCAGCAGATTTTGGGATAAGTCTTCAGCAGAGAGACTGAAATCTGAGGAAGTATGTTATTCTGAAATTTTCATCGCTGCTTTCTGGAAATAATTTAAACAGTTTTACATCTGATTTATTCCTCGTAGAGAATCTCACTGGTGACACGGGATAATCCTTCAAATGTAAAATTTTCATATCTGCACGTTATTTTCTACAGCATATGCAGTAAATACATTTAATGGGAAATGGATACATCAAGTTAAAGCAGCTTCATTTCCATCCAAAACCTCTAATCCAAAAGGTGCTGCAGTTTTGTAAATGTTTCCTTTAGGATCAAGATATTGGGATTTTAAGTAACTTCCTGTCATGGATTGACTCTGGCACAGTGCCAGTGCCCCCCATGAAAGGTGGGGGGGGTAGAGATCCGATCTGCTCACCTGCCGGACTCCAAAGAGGAAGTCTCTCTGGGAGTGCTCTGCTTTTAACCCCTGTGTGTTCTCAGAGGCGTATCCAAGTCCCCAGTGGCCACACCAGGTGCCAATCTGAAATTTGGCCACTGATTGGTTTGACCATAACTTCCCAAAACCTCACTTCCGGGTCAAACCATGACACTTCCTTTATGGATGATTTTGACCTGATGCTTATTCCAATTTGAAAATTGGAAAAAATTGATCCAAAAATTGCCTTCTCCTTTTTTTCAGAAAAAAACCCCAACATTTCTGCACCATCATTGGAATTTTAAATGACCATTGCTAAATATTTAGAGGGGTTCACACCAGTGAACCAGTGGGTTCACACCATTATTCTTTGCCTTCAAAGTTCCTGAAAATTTGCACATCACTATGTAATGAGAACACTTGTTCTTTTTTTTTCTATTTACATCTGCTACAAGGTCCTACCTTTTACAAGCGGTGAACAGTCTGACTTCTCATGTTAGTGCTGTCTTTTCATTTTAAATTCCTCTAATTCTACTAGCTTTAAATTATAAACAAGACTGTTCAGCCCTACCCTGTCTGAGGTTTAGTTTCTTTTGTACACAAATGCTCAAGAAAGAGACAAGATAAATCAGGAAGAGTCCTGGGTCTGTGGAAGAGATTTGCCCTGAACAGGGAGAGGTACAGGAGGAATTCACATGAGCTTTTCACTGATGAACATAGGCCAGATTTGCATATGTGATTCACCTGAATGTATAGTAAAATGTGCAGGAGGCTGTGCATAATTAGACCATTTCTGTTTTCAGCTATTGGAGAGCAGGGAAACGAGTTCTGGTGTTGGGTATTCCAGATGCTGTTATCACTAATGAAATAATAATTCTTTCAGCCTTCGTGCCTAACATTCATTTAAAAAGCAACACCAATTTAAAGTATTTCACTGGTGGATGTATATGAAGAGACAAACACACAAACACAGTAGCTTGAAAGGTGGCAATTTTCCATTTTTCTGCAGCATCTTCTATAATAAAGGTGATATTGGAGAGCTGAAAACTGCACTGGGCTTCGCCCAGCAAAACTTGCTGTTTGCAACAGCAACCTACAGGGAGTGCTCAGAGAAATCCTAGTTGTCACCGTGAAATCTTTTCAACATTTTGCTCAGGTATTGCTGAAAGACAAGGAATAAAGAACCAGGACATTTTTGAACATTTAAATTGAGGTAATTAGGGATGTTAGTAATATGCGTTAAAAACCATGTGAGAAGACTTGCTATCTAAAGACAACTGTGACGGTGTTTTTAGCGTGTGGATGTGACTTCATGGGCACTTCAACCACGCAGCGTAAAGTGGAAGTCACCCTGTGAAGAGCTCTTTTATTTCTGAAACTGGTGGAAAGGTTTGAGGGGAACTTAATGAGTTTTTCTAGGGTTCAGTGCAAGGAGAACATAAAGTCTTTCACCAATTTAAACTTCTGGTGTTTGAACTGAAAATGCCTAAAGCCAAAACAATAAACCAAATAATTTGTAATTCAACCGATATTTATGTCACAACATAGTTTTCATTTAGAAAGCATTGAATCTTATTCCAAATAGAGTTAGCAATACCAAATCCCAAAATGTTAGGTGTGGCATGAATTTCTTCAGTTATTGTGAGTTATTTTGGTATTTTCCCTCCAAATTGTCTGGAGATAAGTATGGGGAGGGGAAAACAATGGGTTTGAGCCAACGTATTTTTTTTAGACCACCTGTGACTTAAATTAGTAATCTTGGTAATGTTATATCACATCTTTTTGTGGCACCATTTACAATGTAAAATGCTTCTGTTCTCTTGAGGAAAAGCACACTCACTGATTAGGTGCTTGTTTGTAGAATGATATCACATACTCACTAAAGGCTAATATTTATATTCTGCTAATGGTCCAGAAGTCTACAAAAATCTGAATTATATGACACTCAGAGCTTTCAAATCTGTTGCTTTAGAACTTAAACATTTATGTAAGTCTTACCATTTTTGAGCACAAGTACTAATACTAAGTCAATAAAAATATACTATCAAATATTCAAAATATCTGTAAAACTAATTCACATGAAACTTTCCCCAAGATTATTGGGTGGTTTTATGTGTAAACTGTTTGCTTGAAAAGTGTTTTTAAAAAAATGCCCAAAAATTTTTCAGGGGCAGCCACCTGGTTCCATACCAAAGATCTGCAAATAAATACCATTTCTACATTTCAGAAGACTCATAGATGTATTGTTTGGTTTATTTTCGGAGTTTTTCAAGCAAGATACAGCTTGATAGTGGATTTGACAGATAATTGTAGACAAAAAAATAGGTGAGACATTATATTTAATCCTGTATTTGAGAAATCCCTATTGCCAAGCCCTTCTGAGTTCTGAATTCACTTAATACCATATCCATTCATAAAAAAAAAAAAAAAAAAAAAAAACCAACCAAACAAAATGTCTCGCTCCTGGTAGAAGAAAAATTGTAAAATATTAGACTGATAAATATTTTTATACATTCAGTGAGAAAGGTATGTACTTTCAAAAATTACAAAATAACAGGTAATTTGTTGGGCTTTTTTTTCACACAAGTTGCTGCAAATAACAGGGAGCTACAAAAATCTATGGTTTTGCATTTAAAGAGAAATGGTAGAACACTGCTCTTTAAAATTCCGTGATCCATAGGCATGTGGAGGAACCCATATCTGATCCCAACTCAATCAGATTTTTCATGGGATGCATTTTTACAGACAGCCCTGATTTCCATTTTACTGTGAGTCAGCTTTGCAGGGGATCAGAAGTTCATGTGTAGATTCATCTAGATTCACGTGAGAAAAAACTTCTGAGCAATATGACAAATTTCAGTAGAAATTAGGGCTCATCATCCCTCATTTATACACTTACAATGTTGATTGTGCTCGTTAATGTAAAGATGTTTTGGTTTTGGTTTGGTTTGCTCTCCCTTTATCTGTGCAGAGGGACGTATTTTCAAATGTCCTATGGTTGAATATGTTACATCACACAAATCACTTTTTGAAGTTCTCTCCCACTAAAATTCCACCAGAATTTGCAAACTTCTTACTGCAATGTACTTTTTGTTTGCCCAGTTTTGTGTGTCAGAGCAAAAGCAAACACTATAAATGTATGAGGACTGCCATTTTCAGCTCAAACCAAGATTTAAATCAATTTTGACCTAGAGCAGAGAATTGATAATTGTCCAGCAGAGAAGCCTTACTGAAAACCATTTTCTTTTTGTTATTAACCATGTATCTGAATTTGTTGATAGCTCTGGCATATGCAGCCCCACAAAAAAATGCAACC